TCTACAAGCTCAATAATTTCTCATTTTTTTCACCTCTGGAATTATTGAAACTCAAGAATCTCAAAAACGACTATTGCTAATTTGCTTTCTTTGAAAAACAACTAAGCATGATGTATAAGGAAAGCACAATGGGTTTTTCTCACAATTCCTCTTGCTTGCTTTGAATCAAGTTAAACACTTCTAACACCTCTATTTATAGAAGATCTAAGAACAAGTGACCATTTTTGTCCATTCAAGAGTTTTCCATTATTGGAAATGATTCAAATTTTCACTAGCTTTGTAAAAAGCTTTCCAAATATGGCAATAGTCATTTGAGCCTTAAAATGGTTAAATTTTTTAAAGTATTCATTTTGGTAATCGGCTACATGATGAAGAAAGGAATTTTTTTCTCTTTCACTTAACTAGTTCCTTCAGTCAGTTAATTGATATCAATTGGAACTCGGTTTGTCTAGGTTAGTTGGCTATGTATTTTTTGGGCAATCTACTATCTCTCTTACATAAGGCATTTTTATGCCTTGACTATCTCCATTAGTCAACTTTGTCTTTCTAGGGCAATTGACTATGCATTTTGGGGTTTTTGACTATGTGTCTCAATCCTTACAAGACATGTGTTTTAGACAGACCAATACTTAGAAACTTGGAAATGATTATCCAAGAGTTTAAGTTTAGCAAAGCCAACGTACCATACCTATTCTAACCATTGGTCTCTAAGGATGCCCAACATGAGTCAATCTTGTTGGGCATCATAGTGAGTGCATCAAAATCCTAAAAGATTGACACAATTTGAATACAATTTAATGTAGTCTTCTTCCTTAATGAGTTGTTATAGTGAATAATCGTTTGTTATCTCCAAGTCTTTCAACTCTTGTAGTGGTTTTGTCATGCTTGAATGTTGTTACAAAAGCCTCATTTAGAGAAATTTGGTCATGATGATAAAGTAAAACTTCCACTTCTTCATCTTTGGTAGCATTCTTCTTTTACACAATTTAGGCTCAAAGAAGCTTATTTGATATAGTTGCACAATTAATCCCTCTATTAGTACTCTCAACAAGTTTGTTATCATAAAAACGCATAGGGTTAACACTTAGTTTCACAAATGGGAAGGAGTGGATTAGTTGGAGACAATGTTGTACACACCGGGCTAGGGTAACCTATCACAAGTGAATACACCAGTGCTCATTGTAGGCCCCACATGTACTGAACACCAGCGCATTCAGCCAAGACAGGTAGCCTAACCCTTTGTGTACAATCTTGTTTCCAGCATAACCGGACTCAGATAGGAATGGCAATGATGTGGGGCACCCCCTCTTTGTCCTCTCCCCATAGCCAAAATCCCCTACCTTGTCCCCAATGGTGGGACAGGTTCAGGTTTGGGCACCTTTCCCTTGTTAGGGATAAGGAATTCCCAAATTTTTCCCACCCCCAAAGAAACTACCTAAACAATACATCAAATTCTAGGGGTATTTTAGATAGGGTAAATTTCTTAAACTACCCTTATGGTTTAGCTAATTGACTAAATATACCCCTACTATTTGACTTGTCTAATGTTACCCATACTGTTTTGGAAAATTACCATTGCCATTAAAATATTGATGGAAGGGCTGAAATGTCAGTTTTGACCTTAAGTCAAATTAGAAGCTCCTCGGGTTCTTCTTCACCTTCCTCAATCTAGTTTTTGCCACCCAGGTAGGAATGGCAGTGGAGAAGGGTGGGGCTGGGTTTTGCTTGCCCCATACCTAACCTTGAATTCAAATTCCACACCCCGTACCTGCCTCGAACTCCAATGGGGCTAAAAATCCTAACCTCATCCCTATCCCCATGGGGAACGAGGATCCCTAATTTTGCCCCGCCCTGCCCCGGTAATTCTTACTTGCATACTTATTAACTTTTTTTTTATTTTTTTAAACCTACCTAGAACTACTTTATATTGTGTAATATAATATAGTATAATATAATATATATTAGAATATACTAATAATTATATGTTATATAATATTGTCAAGGTGGAGCCGGGGTCCGAGGCGGGGTGGACAAATACCATCCCCAACCCTAGAGTTTCAGGTTTTCTCCAAACCCAAATTAGCAGTAAAAAACCCGCCCCCAATTTGAGGCGGGACAGGTCAAATTGCCATCTCTACGCCTAGTCTTCATCGATCAAAATCACTGCCGCCGCTGCAAATGATAAATAGTGAATATATATACCAAGTAACAATAGTACCCTCTCTTCTACAGGCATCATCTCTGTTTTCCCTCGTTTTAATGGTGTGAGTGCATATAATACGTATGTGGCAGAGTAACTATATTTGGAAATATATTTTTTCTGCTCTTCTGCATCTTTGCATGACTCACTGGCTCCTCTGATAACACAAGCCCAAATGCGACAAAATGAAAACAAAATGGGATTAAATTTTGAAGCACCATTTCAAGGATGGTCACCGGTATGAACGCCCAGAAGTGCTAGTAATCTCTTTTGGGAATTCGCTATTCAGTCTTACTGAATCGATATCTGATGTGAGCTTTTGAATTTTGATATTGATATATCTAGTTCTTGTCTATTGGTTGTTTTTTATCTCAATCGTCTTTGTTTTTTGTTATCAGAAGCTTGAAGAAATTGAGATAGAAGAAAAATATTGCTGAAAAGGTATGAAGGACAAATGCTATTGAATGAGATCCCTCATGCGGCATCTCTCCATCTTAAGTCCAGCGCCTCTCTGGCATACCCACTCGGTGCCAGGCCACCGCTCTTCCTAGTAAAAAAAAGGGGAAATATCACGCTGTCTTCAAGCTCACGACATCAGACAAAGCCGGCGGCGAGCTTACTTTGATCTCCCCTTTGTCTCTCTCTCATATTGACAAAAATGGAGTCAATTCCTCCAACTACCTTCAGAAGAGAAATAAAATTTAGATCCTCACAAGGTTTTTTTTTGGTAGGATATTGAAGTTAAAAGATTTGCAGGCTTCTTCCCCTTCCTCTCACCCGTGTTACCAATTGTTTGTGGTGTGGAGTCTCCAATGGCTCCTTTCATTTGACCGGAGGTGGAGGGGTCCACTGTTGCAGCGGCGGTGATGAAACATGAGAGAGAGAGGTCTGGAGGTGGAGGGGGGCATCTGCGCCACTAGTTAAGGACTAAGCCAGCTTGGTTTTCTATTGTTAAAAGAAAGAACCGGTAAGGGTAAAATTGGGCTTTAAAAAATTATACGTCACGTGTATACGAATTTTGATGGACTATTAACCGATGCTAACAATAAGGGTAGAGCTAGTCAATTATCAAAAACAATAGGGGTAACATTAGACAATAACTAAACGGTATTCAAGAAATTTACCCTTTTAGATATAGGACTATGGGATTTGAGGAGATTTTATAAATGTGATTATGGCATCCTAGGTTTTTTTGGAATTTGAAGGAAATTTAAGAGTATTTTAAAAATTGATATTAAATCTATGAATATTTTAATAATTTACCACCGAGTTCAAGGAATTATATGCAAACCCCATCACTGCCTCATCCCCAATTTGGGGCAAAAATGTTTTCTTCGTCCCTATTTAAGATCGGGGAAAACCCATCCCGTTCAGGGTAAGGCAAGGTGGGGTCCCAGTTTTATAGGGAACATGCCAGAATCAGTAAAATAGTAACATGATCACCAGAATCAGTAAGAAGTGTATGTTTTTCCACTGAAAATAGTAACATGATCACCAGAATCAGTAAAAATGTTCTAAGGGCAATGGGCTTATGATTGTTTATTCCAAAATTTCCCCTAATATTTCTTTGTACAAAAAATAAAATTAACCTAATAAAATCAAATATAATGGTTACTTATGTCTTATTAGAAGAAAAAATGATATTTTGATTTTTATTTTCTTTTAATTAAATTATTCAAATGAATATTAAGGTCAAAACTGTCATTTTCCATTATGAAATGGGTTGGGCTACCTATCCTGAGTGAACATGCCAGTGTTTAGTAAAGATGGGCCCAGAGTACATGTTCACCCGTGATTAGTAGCCCAGCCTGATGTGTACAACCTTGTGTCCAGCTCATCGGACGCTTGCAAATCATAAGGGGTGTTTTAAAGGATCCTATATTAATTATAATTTTATATTTTTAAAGTTTTCAACTTTTTGTCCTACTTCCATCCCAGGCCTTCCCTAATCCCTATCTAGGGCTGTTCACGGATCGGGTTGGGTCAGTTTACTGGCATTTTTCCAACCGACCTAACCTAGTTGGTTTACCTAGAAATGGAACTGAAACCGACCCATTACTAAGTAAAACCGACCCGGTTGGTTTGGGTCGGTTTTGTGAATGATTCTCTTGGTGTGAACGATAAAGGATTCAAGTCTAACAAAGCAAAGGATGGATGCCTGAAAATTAAAAATGATTTGATGGATTAAAACTAATATTTTATATATCGGAAATTTTATATATAATATGTATATTTCAGAAATAAAGCTGAAATATATATATTTCCACAAATATATATCTGAAATATATATATTAAAACTGAAATATATCATATATATATATATAATATCTGAAATATATTATATATATAATATATATTTAAGTCGGTTTGGGTCGGTTTATATTTTTTTGTAACCCAAAACCGACCTATACTGAAGAAAAACCGACCAACTCAGGTTGAATCGAACCAGGTTGATCGGTTTAGTCGGTTTAGGTCTTGTTATGAACAGCCTTATCCCTATCAATGGATATTGTGATCTCTCTTATCTTCTTATCCTATATATTTTTGCATTAATTCATATATATGAAAAGAAGAGCATATATGCTTGTTTATACAGAAGGTAAAAAGTTACTTTTTCTTTTGCACTTTATTCTTCCTTCTTTATTTCCTTAGACATCAAAAGCTCTCTCTCTTTCTCTCTTTCTGTCTCTTTCTCTCTCCTCATTTTATTAAAGTGGTACTCGAGAAACTTTCGATTATATTCTTCCTTTTTAATTTCCTTGGACCTTAAGTTTTCCCCCTCTCTCTCTGTACAGTACCTACAGAGCCTTGGTTTCAGTTTAAATGATGTATGAAAGTGGAGTTGGAGGTGTGCTTGACGTTTGATTTAGAAAGAAAAGAAGAAGAGTGCAGGATTAATCGCTTTAATGCTTCTCCTTCAAGATACTAAATCAGGTCTACTACCTTCACCTCTTTGCTCCTTGGTTATTGAGATATAGAGGAAAATTGTTATGATTAGCATCAATTTATTTATTTTCTTTCCCTCTTCTTCTTCTGATAGATCAGGTGTCTATAATATTATTGGGCGACATGATTAGTCCTTTTAAATCAACTACTGGTTGTTTGCTTTGATGAGATGAAAACTCTGATAGTCAGGAATAAGTTACAGTTCTATATACCTTGATAAAACTGATGAAAGCGAGAAAAAGCTAATAATCAAATGAGAACAGTCAGTGACTCCTTAGTGGTGTCGAGGCTAATTCTATTAAATGCTAATGCAAATTTCTTGGGAAATTGAATAGAAATGATAAAGAAGAAAACTTCTCAGCAATCAGCTAGTTCGAATTTCCTGACTTTAATTTCTCCGGTAGGAGGCACTGTGCTTTTAATTTTCTTTCAGTGAGTTCTCAGTTCTTTAATCGTTGAATTGATTAATTATTATTATATTTTAAATGTTTTGTTACATATTATTTTATTTAACCTGCGTCCCAAGTTAAATCATTTTTTCATTAGAAACCAAACATAGCCTAAAGGATAAAATAATAGGTCGTTTCATTCAACCACTTCAGCCGCTATCAAACAGCAGCTTATTGCTTGACTTGGTGAAGTGGAGCGAGTCTAGTTCGAATCTACTCAAAAAATTCAGTTGCATCGAGCTTAGATAGTTTGATTCTTAATTGTTTTGTTGAATTTTAAGCTATAATATTGCATGCGAAATTAAATGTTTTCAACCTATTATTGACCCGCGTGATCAAAACAATCCGAAGGTGACAATTTTAATCCCTTCCCAAACTCCAAAGTCATTACGGGTGAGGAAAAAACTAAAAAACTGAATCGATCAAAAAAAACCGACAAAATTGAATTGAAAAATCGGTTAACCGAATTAATTGGTTTGATTTTGGTTCAATGTTTTTAAAAATCAAAGGTATTGATTTGGTTTTAGTTAATCATTATAGAAAATCAGTGGTTAATTTAACCGACCAATATACATATATTTCTATATTATATATATATATATATATATATTATATTTTTATATTTTTTAGATATTATAAATTAATAAATATGCATTATATAAATATATATAGTTATAATATGTAATATATCATTTATTATTTAAAATATAATATTTTATAAATATTTATAATTTTTTATAATATATTGTAAAAATTATAAAATCAAAAAACGACAAACTGCACCGGTCAACCGATTAACCGATTGGCTTCGATTCAGTTTCGATTACCAGTTTTCAAAAAACCGATAATACCAGTTCAATTATAAAAAAAATGGCCCATGATTTGATTAACCAAAGCACCAATCAGTCAAAACTGTTGAGTTGATCAAACATGTCAACCAACTTGATTGGATGATGGGCGTCACAGGTTAAAAATTAATTATACTTTTTTGGGAATATCTACGATGCTAAAAAGGCATGATGCCACAAGAACTTTGATCAATCAAATCAATCCCCTACGAATTTTGATAAGTAACATCTGATTATTACCACTTTTACACTAATGGACATGTTTTCAACTTGTCATTAACTCAGCTAGTAAAATCTAGAGGATAATCAAAAATTGTTTAGCCTATATGGTTGGACCATTGACCCATTAGACCTGGTGACTGGGTTACAGGTTGCACACTAAATGTATATGCAAATTTTGGGAGGCTATAACTTTATACTCTGATGCCCGATTGAGATAATTTTTCTTCTGATTTTAGATAACTTTTCAAGATATATATGTGCCCCGTTATTTTTCTAAAATACCCCTATTTGGCCTCAAAATGTAATTTTTGATTTTTATAAATAAAAAATAAAAAATATAAAATAATACATGTACTACATATAAAACATAATTATACATTTTTTTATTGATAAAATACATGTTTATAAAAACCTATACACACAAACACACACATGACACAATCTAACCTAGACGGTCAAACCAATGATGACCCACGACCCAGAGGCAAAAATGGTTCGACCTCTGAATTGGTTTTTAAAACATTGCTTGTTGATTGGTTACAAGTTTCAAACATTACTTTTTTTTATTTGCAGGTTTAATTCTTTTAAAAACACCTATATCTATGCACATGTATTCATGTATATCGGGATATCTATAAAATTATTATCTTATATATGTAATAATAATTATATCTATCTCTACCTATAGAATACACACTTCCATGCCCATCCCCTTTGGTTCAACTTTTTTATACCTATAATACCCTTTTTATTTACACAAATGCCCACTTTATCTTTATAATTTGTTAATGATAGGTTTATATTCAAACTTCTATAGATTTAAAATAAAATACACTCGCTCTTTTATCTAATTTTTTATTATGTCACTTGTTTATGTCCGAATTAAACCATTGGTTTCGCACATTCATATGCCTATAATACCCCTTCTATTTAAACAATTTTCTATCTTATACTTGTACAACCTATTAATTCATTAATAAATGTATGTTGAATTATTTATATGATTTCCTATTCCATTTTTGTTCCTTATTTACGTATCAATTTCAACCTGTGATGCAAGGTGTTGAAAGCACCTTGGACCAATAATTTTGCCAAAAATGTCTTTTTTTATCTTAAATCTCAATTTTTAGAAATTTTAATTTATAAAAAAACTAAAACTAAGTTGAAATATAAATTTAGCCTTATACCATATTAATGATCATTTCAATCACCTTTCAAAAATAATAGTCATTTCAATCTTAGATTTAGTGTTGTTGATGTGCTTGTGGGATTTGTAATAGTTTTCATAGTGTATCTGAATATATTCATATATCTCTTTCCACCATATCCATGCATATGCAAAGGATATCCCTATCTCATCCCATATCCATATCCAAGAATACATAATACCAATATTTTGAACATTGCATCAAACCCCATAAATCCCCTAACTTGCACTTTGCATGACATGATTAAAGCTTTTGGACTATTCAAATCATTCTAATATATATATGTGCTTTTATCAACGAATATTACTTTTATGTAAATATCCATGAGCTACTAAACAGAACAAGAGAAAAACTTAGAAACTAATAGGCAGGACAAAAGTAAGAGAAAAGAAGGATAATATAGTAATAAGATGTTGAACAGTGAAAAGCAATAGAGGATAAATAAAATTAGGGTAAATTATAGATAAATACCCTATACTTTGGGGATAGTGACAGATAGGTACCTTGAACTTTTAATTGCAATAGTTGAGTACCCTGAACTTTCAAAAATAGACACTTGAGTCCATCTGCTGATTAAATATTATAAAATGTAAAAAATACCCTTCTCATGTATTTTTGAGATTATTTTTAGGTAATCGAACGTCTCCCCACGATGACGTTCTAACATGGACAGCAAATAACAAATTCAAGTTTTTTTATGACAACATTCTCTAGTGATGATTTTGCTACGTAAAATGATCTCCAAAATACATGAGAAAGGTATTTTTCGACATTATGTTATGTTTGACTAGCGGAATACTATAAAATGGACCCAAGTGTCTAGTTTTAAGATTTCAAGGTACTTAAGTGTTGCAATTGAATGTTCATGATACCTATTTGTCACCACTCCCGAAGTACAAGATACCTATCAGTAATTTAACCATAAGATTAATAGGGCTTGGTGATGAAGCTTTATGCCTCCTTCCTTCTTTACTTGGCTAATACATGAAAAGATTTTAATTTTTTTTTAAAAGACTATTACATGAGAAGATGGACTATTCCTTGTCACTTGAAAATTCAATGTGTATGTGAGCAAGGACAAGTTCAGGTTTTCTTCTTCTTCTTCTTCTTCTTCTTCTTGTTTTTTTTTTTTTTCCTAAAAGGGGTGGTGTTCACAAAAGCTGAAGAGAATGATAAAATTTGCAAGATAAAGTGGTTGCTAGGGTCATTTTGGTCTTAGAAAAATAAGAAGCCCAGGATTCCAGTGAGACAAAAGATTTTTATTTGGCTGTGTTTGGTTGCAATGCAAATTTATTTGCACTGATGCAAAACCATGACAGTGCAAATGATTTTAGTGCAAAGTATGATTTATTTTTATTTGAAATTTATCTTATTTTGTTTGATTGGAGTAGAAATGAAGTAAAACAAGACTTCAAGGAAAATAAAACAAAACCCAAACCAAAAGTAAACCAGAATTTACATTCTTTTCATTTGCACTTCCATGTATTTGTATTGATGCAAATAAAATTGCACTGCAATCAAACACAGCCTATGTTGAGTTAAAGTTACTTAAAATTACATAGGGGGATTATATAGTTTGAGTGAAGTAAAATAATTATCAATTTCTAGGTTATACGATTGGATTATTATGGTACATATGTACCATTGGACTGTGTGTCCTATGGTACCAAAATTGCTGAAGGATATATTTTTTAAGTAGTTAAACACAGTTCCATGACTAAATTTAGTGGGAGGGTCTCCATTTAGTTGAAATGATTGTAGGTGAGATATAATATTTTTTTCTAAATTTTGTTGGTCTTCATAATTATAAAATGGGTCAGATTTAACTCATAGTAAAATGCAATTGTATGGGCTTTTGAGTCCAAAGGTCGAAGAGGTATATACATATTTTATATATGTATATGACATTCTCTATATCCCAGTAGGTCCTTTGAAGCAAAAATTATTCGCTTACAAACCATCATAAGCAAAACAAATTAATCTCCAGCAAACTGTTTTAACAAAAACAATTTAGGGTCCGTTTGGTTTATAGTTGGAATTCGAACCATAATTGAAATCCTCTAGAATCGGAATTGGAATGGTCCATTCTCATAGTATATTTGGTTTAGACAGGAATGGGAATGAGAATTAAAATCAGCAGGAATGGGATTTCATCCCCAAGGGAGGGGCAGAGAATGGCCATTCCCTCAAATGGGGGAATGTCATTCCTGCAAGAATGGGAATGGGACTCCGATTCTACCCAACCAAATAGTTGGAATTGG